GTGGATGAAGCTCCCGCTTATGTCTTTGGAGACTCCTACGTGCTGAATACGTCTTGGAGCATGAGATGCACTGAAATCGCTCTGGTTCTCTCCCTGCGTCCGTTTGTGGATGAAGCTCCCGCTGATGTTTCTGGAGACTCTTGAGTGCTGAATACGTCTTGGGGCATGAGATGCATTGAAATGGCTCTGGTTCTCCTCCTGTGTCGGTTCGTGGATGACGCTGCCGCTGGTGTCTCTGGAGACTCCTGCGTGCTGAATACGTCTTGGGGCATGAGATGCACTGAAATGGCTTTTCTTCAGAGGTGCACTTTTTAACACCTGTTACGAGGCAATTTTTGGACATGGTGTTGTCCTGTCAGTTTGGGTCGTTGAATTGATGGAGTTTTCTTTTAATCTGGAAAGAATGGAATCGCAGTTGCTATGAAGAAACGACCCTATTCTAAAATTAGTAAAAATATTATGTTGCTGTACCAGAATTCCCGCTAATTCGCCCCGTCCATACAGGGTGGTCCACAGACCCCTTCCTTTATTTTGCTTATACTGTACCGGATGTAGGCGTGCGGACGGGTTGCATACTCGCACGGGGCCATAAGGCGCCCATGGTGAGCGACAGTAGGCAAGCCCGCCCGCACGCATGCATGCGGTACAGTATAAGCAAAATAAAGGAAGGGGTCTGTGGACCACCCTGTATCTCCGTAGTTGGGCCGCACTGCATGCGCGCGTGCGGGCCCAACCGCTGTGGACGAGATGATAGGCAAACCCGCCCGCCCGCACCCGTGCGTGCGGAACACTACTTCAAACTTTGCCGCACAATTCTAGGTACAAATTTGACTGTGGACGAGACGAATTAGCTATTCTGGCATGCTTTTTCTATAAACGATCTGTGTATGTTTCGGGGCAAGTACTAGCACATGTGTAGGGTTCGCACCTGGTATTTTCTTGACCGCGCCCTGATCGCTGAGAGTGAGGAGGCTGCCCTTCTCGACGTGCACAAGCAGAAGGCCGCGCGGTGACTGCCCAGCCGCTCTTGGCCGAGCAGGCCGATAGGCGTCCAGTCGCACGTTGTCAGCACTTTTGGTCCGTCCGTTTCCCCCGCGCCCTGTAGCAATGTAAGAGGACGCCATAACTTTGTCAGAGGAGAATCCGATGGTGACGTTCGCACAGCACAGCTCGGCGGCGCTGTACCACATCGGAAGGTCTCCGCCGCGAGACGCGCACCCCCTTTCCTTGAACCACGTCCAGGCCGTGCGTGTCTTTCGCCGTCATGAGATTATGAAGACTCCGTTAGGCGAACAAGCAACCAGCAACCCACCCGCCCGTACCGCCCGACCAGGCCGACCGAGTATAGGAAAGAACGATGCAGTAGCCCTTAGACCTCTCATACGCCATACATATATATATGCGCCGTCGTTCATTTTCTGTTGTGGCTGTACAGCTGTACTTTTGCGCGCGCAGGGACGCGTGAGGGCTGAGCTCCTCCTTCGTGCCCCCGTGCGAGCAGGCAACCCACCCGCACGCGTGCGTGCGGCACAGTCTAACTCTCACGCCCCACCCCGCAGGCCCTGACGCTGCTGCAGAGCGCCGACGAGGCGGCCGTGCTGCTGACGGCCGCCCACCTGAGCCGCCTGCCCGGCCTCGTGTCCCTCGACGTGACGGCCTACGCGGAGGCCGGCGTCCTGCTGCGCAGCGACGCCCTGCGCACGCTGCCGGACCTGCTCCTGCTCTCCCTCACCGGCGTCAAGCTAGAAGGCAAGGAGGTCCCACTATGCCGACACTAGAGGGCGAGTGTAGCGGAGCTTACTGGCCGATCTTCGGCTGCTTTCAGGTGCGCTCGAGGACGACAGCGACAACGAGGTGGTGCTGACCACGGAGGCGTCCGCGCACCAGAGGCGCCGCCGGCTGCCACCCTGGGCGTACCGCACCGAGGGACAAGGGTGCGTATCAGCCGCACGCCGCGGACGCTCATTGTGAAGGGGTTTCTTTCTAACCGCCTGCCGGGGCGTTGCAGCGAGGACACGCCGCAGCTGGTGTTCCTGAAGCCGGCCGAGGTCGTGTCCTTCTCCAAGTTCGCGGAGCTGCGACGCGTCAACGCGCTGCACACGTTCGAGGGGCTGGAGAAGCTGTTCATGCTGCGGCTGCACCACGCCGACCTGGTCGACCTCGCCTGGGAGATGTTCAACGGCCTGGACAACCTGCAGGTGAGGGCAGTGACGCGGCCTTGCCGGCAATACTCCTCGGAGAGCGACTGACTCGAGCGTGGAGTATCGCGCGGTGCGGGCGTGACAGAGATTTGGGGAGGGGGGGCGTACAGCGTCTGGTGTTTAGTCTAGGGTTGGATTCAGCCTTAACCTTAACAGGGGTATCTCACCTCATCAGCCCGACCCCCACTCCTCTAAAGCAAAGCAACGAAAAATAATAATAGTGTGTGGTGTGTGTGCTCTGCACAGGTGCTGTCCCTCGAGAACAACGGGCTGGCCTACGTTCCCGACTGGTCCCTGTACGGGGCGCCCGCGCTGCGCTACCTCAGCCTGGCGCACAACTCGCTGCTGGACGTGTCGTCCACGGCGCTGGTCGGCCTGCTCGAGCTGCGCTTCCTGGACCTGTCCCACAACAACCTGTCGCACCTGTCCGAGCTATCGCTGCCGCCCTTCCCCAAGCTCCAGGGCGCTGACTTCAGGGGCAACCCCATCTCGAACATCTTCACCAGCACTTTCCAGGTGAGAAGGGGGGTGTAGGTGGCACCGCGCAGAAACGCACAAGTAGCGCTGAAGCCAAATTAGAAAACGTGCAGAAATGACACCAGTTTTTCGGGAGCTCGGCGCCTGCGAGACTCGGGGTAGGCCATCCCGCAGTACACCCATGCACTGCAGACAATATGCTAACTACCTATCAGGCGCTATGAGAGCTTGAATTGGCTGAACTTGTTGGTTTCGTTTCCCGGATCATCCTGGACGTACGTTCTGGATAATCCCTTGAGAGAAGTTGCAATACGAGTGGGGCGGAGGCTGCACTTCGGGTGTCGGAAACTAGACAGACACGGTGGCATAATTCGCACCACAGCGTGTGCGTTTTTCGCATCTCAAGCCGGGACATCAGGTCTGCCAGACCCGACCCGTACTGTACACCTGTTTATCAGAGTGCGAAAACCTTGTCGGGGCCACTACTAGAGCCACCAAGCCAGGCCACCGCCAGCACAGATCAACCGGGCAGAATGGTGACCTACCCCTCCCTCCCCCCTCTCCCACGCCAGGCCGGAGCGGAAGAGGCGTGTTGAGAGTCCGCCTGGCCCGCACGGCATGAGCGGGCGCCGTCTCGGATGACCTTGGCTCAGATGCGCCCGGATTGATGCCGGGTGGTGACCCGCTGACCGTCCTCTGACCGCCCCGCCGACCTGTTGCTGCTCCTCCAGGTGATGAACTCGACGGAGACGCTGCTGCTGGGCGGGTCCGGCACGGCGCTGCAGCTGCAGGCCGGCATGTTCCTGGGGCTGCGCGCGCTGCGCCGCCTCGCCGCCACGGACGTGACCGCCACGGCGCTGCACCGGGACCTGCTGCGCGGCATGCCCCGCCTCCGGGACCTCACCCTCCGCGGCGTCGTGCCCAGCCTGCCCTACGACGGCTTCGTGGAGGTGAGTGA